TCCTACACTAGGCACACCTTAAGTAATCCCGGAAAGCTTGAACTGTGGTCTCAGGAACCAGGCTTCTCATGTGCAGGTAGAGGGTTGATAGGGTCCAGGACTTTACGGCTTAGGGGGTTTTCAAGTCAAATGCCGAGGCTTCTCAATAAATCTGGCAGTTTGCCTCACTTAGGGATCATGCGGTAGGTTGTCACCCTAAACCCTGAACCCTAAACCCCAAACCCTAAACCCTAAACCCTATAAACCCTAAACCCCAATCCCGAACTTCGTGCAAGAAACCGTTGACGTTGCCTGGCGCCACAACCTCCGCCGACCATGCAGTCTGCGCAGCGTCTCGCGAGTGGTGTGGGGTTCGGGGTTTAGGGTTCAGGGTTTAGGACCTGAGATTGGTTCCACAGTGCCTACGATTTAGGGTGTAAGTTTCGGAGTTTAGCGTTCCAAGTTAAGGATTTAACCTAGTTGCTGAGCTAAGTGCCGCAGTGTCAAGCCTACTGGGCTTCAACATACCGATATAACCCTAGCTCCCGAAAACCTACAGCCTTATAAGAGGCATCACGATTCAGGATAAATGTGGCATTGAGGCACCGTTTGCCGTTTCTTCCCGCCTTTCTTCTATCCTCTTGCCGCCAACATGCCGCCCAAGAAGAAGCCACAAAAGGCTGAGGCTGGCAATTGGCTCGAGTATGATCTTTCAAGGGTTCCGTAAGGGTATGGAGTTTGGATAGGATTTCGAGATAGGGTTCATATGGTTTCTATCGGGGCTTGGACGGTTTCTCTGGGGTTTCTTGCAGGTTGCACAGAGCTTCGGCCCCAACCCCTGGACCTTAAACCCTAAAGTGCTGGAGGATGGGGTGCTTGTCGGGGCTAGGCAAGGTCTCTGTTCCGAAAGGGTCCAAGTACTTCAAGTAACAGTAGTATAGTATATACTTATGGGGCCCAGATACCTGCTAAACCCTAACGGTAAGTTGGGGTGTAGGGCTTCAGACTTCAAGGTGCTCACTGCTTCAAGGTGGCTTTGACGAATTTGAGGTCTAGATCGAAGATGCTTTACGGCGTAGGGCCTAAAGTTCAAGGCTGGTTGCTTCAGAGCTTTGAAATGGGCATCTAGGCCCAAGAACCTCAAGCGCAGCCGCAGCCGCAGAGGTTTCCTCTAAACTGTATACACACCCTGTTTCCTCAGCCCCAAAGCCCAGACCCCAAGCCCCAAATCATAGTGTAAAGGATAGAGTTTGACTGCCTCAGGGTCTTTATTAGTAGCGTGCGGCACTTGGCTTGCAGTGACACGAACGGAGCCTACCTTATTAAAACTGTTATAAGCTGGGTAAGATGATCGGAAGTATGTCCCACGTAGGAACTTCAGATCTTTTCGGAATGAGAGGAACATCTCGAGGATCCTGACGATACTTGTTGTCAAGGTGGTAGTGAAGGTCACAATCCCGAGTATGACGCGAGCTCAGAGCGAAGGCCTACGGCAAGGAGCTGATACACAAGCTCATGCGACTCAGCGTGATCCTGTAGAGTGGCCGCGAGTAGCCAGTCAGATTGGATTGCCTGTTCAGGGGTCGGCCACAGTGCCAGAGTGCTGTCGTGAGGCCAAATGCTTGCAAATACGTTTGCCAGACAATCGTCAGCTGGTCGCACGCACGCGAGAAAACTGTATGTTAAGCAGCTTCGCCGCAAGAGAGAGAGATGTCATGTCAGTCAGTCGGTTGAAAGGTTGGTATCAGATGTGCGCGTTCGAAGTGGCGAGAAACCCACACTGGTGGAACTACGACAAGCGTGAGTGGTACAGGGCACCCAAAGAGGACAAGGCATGTCCTCAGATGATCTCGAACCGAGTTTCCTGAGCCAGAACCCTTGGCGCAAGATACCGCCTGACTCCGCCAGCAGAACCGGAACCGCTTTACGCCCACAGAGCGAAAGCTCAGAGTCGGAGTTCGTGCGATGACACGGGTGCTGGTGCTGGTCCCTTTCCCGCCTTTGCCGCTTGAGACTCGCAAGCATACCCTGGACATGCTCAAAGCTCCAGTTCGGGTGTACTTCCATAGTCCTAAGGGTCCATGTACTCATATAGCATATACATGGGCCTTGAAGTACCTATATAGGGACTACATTAAGGCCAATGTATATACTATATGAGTACATGGACCCTTAGGGTAGGAACGAGGTTTTTGCTTTTTCGTGGTTGCGCGTCATGCAGCTTCGGAGATGCTCAGAAACGCTTTAAGCCGCTCTACTGCATGCGAGAGTTGGGGATTTCCAATGGGGTGCAGAGCTACATCGAGAACTTACCGCAATGTGAGCCCACAGCCTTACTGAAATGGATGAAAAGCCTAAACCTTTAAACAAATGAAAGGTTCCCCAAAACAACCAGGGAAGGAATCATCAAATGCCTTTGGCATAAAAAAACCTTAAACCCTAATCCCCTGCACCCCTAAAACCCTGAACCCCTAAACCCTAAACACCTGAAGCCCTAAACCCTAAACCATGTAAACCCTGAAGCCCTAAACCCTAAACCATGTAAACCCCTAAACCCCATATCCCTAAACCCTAAACCCCTGGAGCCCTAAACCCTAAACCATGTAAACCCCTAAACCCCAAACCGCTAAACCATGTAAGCCCCTAAACCCTAAATCCCAAATCCCTAAACCCAAACCCCTAACCGCTAAACCCTGTAAACCCCTAAACCCC